CTATGAAAGTTGGAAAAGTGGGGACATGATAAGGGTAGGTAAATAATGAATGGTCTAAAGAAGGTCAGTCGGGTGCTCTTATTTACCCTTTCTCATCATACAAGAACAAAGGAACGTAAACAAAAGGGAACAGATACAACTAATAAAAGGAAACTCTTTTTTATCCATAATCATCCTGTGGGACTCACTGTCACAAGATATCATTGAGTCTTCTTGGAAGGATTTTAAAAAATGTTAGACATGCAACATGTACAGTTATGTTATATAAGATCAGAGAAAGCTATAAAACCTCATGCTTCAGCCATGAGCCAATTATTAACTAATGGGGTTCAGGCAGAAACTGCCTTTGTAATGGAGAGCAGAATTTGATCCATGGAGTGTCAGGTACTCTCAGGTGGGACCCAAGGCAGACAGTGTGGGAGGGGTCTGTCCTACATTGGCTTTTATATCACGTTCATCACTGTAGTAGCTGCTCTCTTATCTTGTCTCCTGTAGATTCTGTGCTGTCATTATTCAGTCCCATAGAAGGGCGTTCTCTGTTTCCCTCTTCCATGTCAAACAATGGCACTCTTTCCAGTCACTTCTTTGGCAGGTGGTAGAAAGGCTTTTTGATAAAGCATTGGCCTTTCTTCTTGAACAATGGCAGTGGCTGCAAAGGACTGGGCCACAAAAGGAGAAACTGAAATTAGAAAATAAGATGACTCCTATCAATGTGAGAGATCTGTGGGGTGAGTGTTATTAGGCCATCATCAGAAATATCCTGTGTTTTTCTGGCTTGCTGTTCAGTCTCTGGCCCACTGGTTCTGTTCATGTCAGAAGAGTCCCGAGGCAGGAAGAATACCATAGTGCACTGAAAATGTGTTTGCTCTGGACAGACTATAGGTCTCCTCATGGGGCTGATTTCTAACAAGGAACTATCCCATTTCTCTGTGAAAATACTTTTCTTCAAATCATGGTTAAGTAGAAGTTATAGAACTTAAAACTGAGGCTCTTACAGAGGAGAAAATCTCACCAGATTCACTCTTGAGTTGCTCCAGCATCTGTCTGTGAAGAAGCAGTCATTGGTATTATATTTTGATGTTTTTTATTCCAAAGATATTGAACCACACTTGCTCTCCCTCTGCTTACTGGAATTTGCTCTTCTTGCTTTGCAGCACACACTGTATGTTTCCCCTAATTATACACACTTAAGAGCTCAAAGTACATTTTTACATCATATTCATTTCAGAAGTCCTTTCTACAGATGTTCATGCTATTTCCCTCCAGAGCAATCAGGCTAGGTGGGTGGAGGGGTAGAAAGATTAGATAGATATGGGAAACAGAGCATGTAGTGGCAGCCCCCTTTGGCTCTTTTAGTACAGCTGCTTCCTCCACTATACAAGGATCCTGGATCAAGTCTTGCCTGTGGTAACATGTAGGACCCACACACAGCAAAACAAGTCTGGTCAGCAAGTGGGGGACTCTGGTAATGGATTGTTTGCTGTAGTTCCCTGTCCCTCTGCTGGTGGACAGTACCACTTGGGGATGAGGGTGGGACTGGGTCTGTGTGTGCAGATTCTGCAGGGGAAATCAATGTAAGAGATCCAATTGTTGTGTCAGCCAGTGGGGGCCAATAGTCTTTTTCTTGTATTGGTTTCCATAGCACCAGTTGTCATGGTAGGTG